TACTTATTCGTAACTTAGACGTTTACTTTACTTAATTCTAAGATTTGACTTTATGATCGGAATCGCGTAAAATTTCTCCAACACTTCTAACACCTTCTAAATGATTCTAAACCTAATTTCAAACCTTCAAATTGCAGAAAACATCTTTCGTTAGAACCCAACGCTCAAAACCATACCGAAACATGACCATTTTAACACTTAGAATTCTTTTCCATTACAACAACCTACTTTAAACACTTTCAACTACATAATACTCATTTTCAAGCCAATGAACATACACAATATGATAATTGAGCAAGGTTAGTCAAGGGTATGTTACAAATACCTCCTTCTTTTGAGGATTTCGTCCTCGAAATCATTGTTGCTCAAAGAGTTGTGGATACTTGACTTTCATCTCGTTTTTGTTCTCCCAAGTCCAATTTGGACCTTGGTGATGCTTCCATTTGACCAACACCCAGTCTACAATCTTATTTCGAAGGTTCACCGTTCTTTCATTTAAGATAACTTCCAGTTCCTTCGTGTATGTCAACCGTTTATCAACTTTTACCTCCGCTAAAGGAACCGCTTCAGCATGTTTACCAAGACACTTTCGTAAATAACCCACGTGAAAGACATCATGAATTCCGGCGAGTTCTTCCGGTAGCTCTAAACGATAAGCTTGCTTTCCCACTCGCTCAAGTATCTTGAAGGGTCCAACAAAACGAGGACTTAGTTTACCTTGCTTACAAAATCTCAAAACTCCCTTCCAAGGCGATACTTTCAACATGACCATATCACCCACGTTGAACTCAATTGGTCGCCTCCGTTTATCCGCATATGATTTTTGTCGATCTTGTGCCGCTTTCATTCTTTCTCGTATAACTCGGATCTTGTCATGAGTAATTTGGATCAACTCAGGACTGGCCAAAATCTTTTCACCCGTTTCTTGCGAACAAAGAGGCGTACGACACTTACGTCTGTACAAAGCCTCAAACAAGGTCCATCGTCAACTCTTCCCACTTCCATACCGAAACTTCAAGAGGCTATAAACTTCCATATGGTTTCTGGTGTTCGGCTTTCACTTGTAGACAAGTGATACACTTTTCAACATATCGGCCAATATCAACTTTCATTCCCGRCCACCAKTATTCGGCAYGCAGATCATGATACATCTTTGTACCTCCCGGATGAATAGATAACCGTGATTTATGTGCTTCCTCTAGAATAACCTCTCGCAAACCCCCAAGTCTCGGTACCCATATTCGGGTTTTAAAGACTTTGAGACCACAATTGTCTTCAGATAAGGAGTCTACATAGCCAACCATACGTTTAGACTTCACGTGGTGTGGCATTAAAGCCTCGATTTGCCACTTATGAAGATCATCAATAAGAGTAGACTTCATTGACACATGAGTGATAGCATAACAAATACTAGCTACATGTGCCTTCCGACTCAGCGCATCCGCCACTACATTGGCTTTACCTGGATGGTATAGAATTTCACAATCATAATCTTTGATCAACTCCATAGCTCTTTGTTGATGCATATTTAGAGTCTGTTGGTCGAAGATATATTTCAAGCTCTTGTGGT